GATTGCGGGGGAGGGGGGAGGCTGGGAAGGGATGTGAAGGGTAAACAAAGGAGGAGGCTGCAATGCTTGGTAAGAAATGTACGCATTATCCTGCGCATGTAATTGTAACTCCTCTGTACAGTATGTTCACAAATAAAATAAAATTAAAATAAAAAAATATTATGTGGCTATAGGTCTGTGAGTTCATTTATGGATCTTCTGTTCAATTCCATTGGTCCTCAGGCCTAATTTTTTGTGCCAGTTTCAAGCTGTTTTTATTATTATGGCTTTGTAATACACAAAATGGAATTTTTGAGACCTATAGATATAATTATATCCACATTAACTTAATATTACACCAGTATGCTAACTGTATCATCAGTTACTCTGCTGATAAAAGTAATGCATTATTGCAGATTAACAAATGAATTGTATCACTTATTATAGAGATTAACAAATTAAATTGTTCATAATATTGGCAAAAAAGTAAACCACAGGAGCTTTACTTTCATCTTCTTTTGTAAAGAGGGTATATATTTTTAATCTTCATTATTGAACCTTTATCCACTTTTTGGCACACTAAGAGAAAACAGTAATGTTTTCCTTCATAACATATTTCATCTAATTATTTTAAGTGTACAAATAGCAAATCTAATTTCTTTTTTTTGTGAAAATACTGTATAGAGGGGTCACAATTAAATGGGCAAGATAATGAGTACATTTCTTATCAAGCATTGTAGCCTCCTCCTTTGTTTCCCCTTCCCATCCCATCCTCCCCCCACTCCCCCATCCAATCCTCCTCCCCCTCACCAAAGTTGTAAAGTTCGTTTTTGACATAACGACTTGTACGTCTCATTGTTGCAATGGGTCCACCTGTATCCCTATTTAAACGATTTGTTTTTTCCCTTCCCCTCCACAAATTATAACATCATCAAATACAGTGAAAGCAAGGGTTATGCTGTGGGGGAGGTACATACAAAGCAACAAAGAAGTAATCTTATAAATGTGTTAGAAACAATCACATGAAAGAAAAAACATTTGAATACATATCTTACCGTTCATTTCCCTAACATCAACTTAACTGACCTTTTCTGCTTGACTCAGACATAACTAGTTATTGCAAATAAGGGAAACCATGGGACCTATGTTTCTTTGGGCCTGGCTTACTTCGGGAACCTTACTGCATTGTTGGTGGGGGTGTAAACTTGTTCAACCACTTTGGAAAGTAGTATGGAGGTTCCTCAAAAGACTCCACATAGAGCTCCCATAGGACCCAGCAAGACCACTTTTAGGCATTTACCCAATGTTCACAAACAAGACCACACTAAAGCTACCAGCACAACTATGTTTATTGCAGCTTTCTTTACCATAGCTAAGATATGGAACCAACCCAGATGCCCCTCAGTAGATGAATGGATCAAGAAAATGTGGTATATATTCACAATGGAATTCTATGCCTCCATCAGAAAGAATGACATTGCCCCATTTGTTAGGAAATGGAAAGACTTGGAAAAAATTATATTAAGCAAATCTAATTTCTAAATATTAACTCTTGCATACAGAAACAATATATCTGACTACATTTTCATATATATATATATATATATATATAAACCATAGTAAACAATTATAACCAGAAAAGGCTCTAATTTTTCATTTTGAAGAAAAATTTGAACAACACTCTGTAGTGTCTTTAGACTTTCTGCTATAATTACAGGGTAATGCATGCCTTGAAAATAAGCGTGTATATGTGCTCATCAAGTATCCTTGCTTTAATTTACTGAGAGAATAGAAGTCAATTAAAATACACTCCTATCACCATTTATAGTAACAATAAGATCAAAGTGAAAGTTTCCGCAAAATTTTTGATATTACATGTATCATTACTACTTTCTTTGAGATAAGAACATCAATTTAAAATGCCCTGCAAAAAATCTTCTTAATCCTTCATAATTCAAGAAAAATAACCCCTAAGCTTTAACTTTACCGTTTTTGACACTTGAACTCCAGGTCTGGTTGCTGTCCTTGAAAACTTTTTGCCCAAGGCTAACACTATACCACTTGAGCCACAGCTCCATGTCTAGCTTTTTTTGTGACTAATTGGAGATAAGGGTCTCACAGACTTTCCTTGCTTGGGCTGGGTTTGCACCTTGACTCATTTCTCAGCCACCTGAGTAGCTAGGATTAGAGGACAGGCAGGGGCTACTGGCACCCAGTTTAAATTTCGCTTTTTAAAGATATGCTTTATATGGTGTCCATTAAAATATTTGGCTTACATAAGGTGTTCTATATACTTATTTTCCAGTCTTACAATAGTTTGGGGGTGAGAACTTTTTAATACAAATAGTGATATCAAAATGTTTTGCTATGTTTTGGGAAAAAAATAAGTAATTTATAATATTGAAACCATAAGGTTTAGTGCAATGCTTTATGAGACTTCATCAAATTTCCCAAAGTAGATATTTGAAAATTACAAAACATATTCTGAATTTGTATATTTTGAGTCATCTTTAGGAATGATGCTACAAGCATCCAAAATATGTAAGTTCATGTACTTTGAGCTGTAAAAGGAATATCTCCATAGATTTTAATCTGTTTCTTCCAGGCTTGTTTGTTTTCTTCATGAAAGTAATGGGCAAACATTTCCCTTTACTAACGTTTCAATTTTTGAGACAAAATCTAATTGAATTGATCCTTGTTTTTAACTAAGAGAAAGAGCTTTGATGGAAATTGTTTCATCTCCTGAGAAATTAATATCTCTTTAGTCAGAAATAATTTCAAACATAGCAACATGAAAATAGTTATATCAAAAACATGCATGAATATGTTAAGATATTTCACTTATAATTAGTATTTTGCCTCTTTTTACTTTCTTCAGAGATGACCTTTTTCTAAGCTATTTGAGAGTAAGTTGTATATGTCATTGCCCATTGACCCCTAAATATTTAAGTGTGTATTTATTATGCATAGGAATAGTCTCTTACATAACCATAAACAAATGTCTCTCTTCATTCTGTTACTGGAGATTGAACCTCGAGCTTCACTAGACAAGTGTTCTACCACTTGAACTACACATTTAGCCCTTTTGTTTTTATTTCATTTTTGGGTTTAGGGTCTTTCTAACTTTTTTCCTGCTGGTCTTAAACTCATGATCCTTCTGCTTGTTTCCCAAGTACCTGGAATTACAAGGGTTTGCCACCATAGTCAGCTAATAAAGGTTGTTTAATTGCATTTAGACAAAAAGAGACAACTTACCATCAGTAGTTTCATCCCCTCCAAAACGTTGTCTGTAGAAAAGCATAAGCTCAATGTTGTAGCATTTGTAGATGACTACTAACATTATGAGGAGGAGGAAGATTGCTCCCAGACCTCCTGCAAGTTCAATTTTGTATATTAAATCTGAAGCAAACAGAATAAACAGGAAAAAATGTATTAGACTGTCAACAGTTCTTTTCTCATATCTCCAATATGGAGAATGTATTACAGATTCTACTTTCCTCCTGACAATTTTAGTGCTTAATTCATTGCTCTTAACATATTTGCATGAATCAAATGCATTGTAAAACTAGCTCTTTTCTAAATATTTAAATAATATTCTACTACAGATAGTCTGTCTGACAAAGGAATAGTCACTCCCAATTTTTATGTATACTTCTTATTTTCACAAATATACTTTTTCTTTAACTTTGAGGGAACTAGTAAATCTGCTTTACTCTCATTTCAAGGTCAATGTTTTTTTGTTTTTGTTGAATTATCTTACTGATTTAGCAAGATTACCATCCTGTACTTCTCAGGCCACAGGCCCTATTCTACAGGAGAACAACATCATCAAATTATTTTGAGAATCAAATAAAATCTAATGAGCTTGCAAGATTTAACTTTTTCATTCAACTCCAGCAATACATAATCTAATAAAAAGTAAGCAGGGGAAATTAGTTTACTCATTTCTCCCCACTTATTTGAATAAATGACTATAATATATATGTGACATAATATGCCCAGTGGAACTAAAAAAGAATGAGAACTCCAGGCTAATAACTTAGCCTTTTCAGCCAACACTAGGCTATGCCATACTTAAGCTGATCCAGTGGGGCATTCCAAAAACATTTACATAATGGAAGGAGGCATAATGTCTCTCACTCTCAAAGAACAGTGAATTACCTATAGCTTAATTAGTGATATTAAGAAATATAAAGAGTGCAACATCAAAAGAGAGGATGGTATATAGATTTAGAAAAATGGAGTTGGGATAATTTAGAGATATGGCAGAGATATATTTGCTACTGCAGGATAAGCACATTCAGTAGTTTCAACTTAATCAAATGCTATTGCCTACGAGATAACTGACCTCCCTTTAATCTAATTTCATAATTACCGAGCAATTCTTCAATCACTAACTCAGCTTGTCATGTAACTAGAGACTGAAAAGGGGAATGTGAAATTTGGTTGTCAAATCTGACTGTCAAACTCAGATTTCTGACCAAGACAGAAAACCAGATAGTCAATCTTTCTCTAGGATCATTGCTTTAGAGAAAATAGATATAATATAACAAGATCCACTTAGTATGTTCTATAAAAAGAAGAAGCATATAACATGAAAGTATTATATGATAAAATCTTTAGCCAGTCTATTATCTACTCTATAATAGGAATATTAAAGCTTTGCTATATGAAAAATGTGAGATTCAGTAATTGAAGTCATTTATCTATGGTAATATACCTAAGAAGTGGCCCAAATGGGACATGAGCTCAAGCTGTCTTAACTTCAAATTCAAGGCTCTATATAATATTGCACAGCTTTATACATTCTATTCTAGAAAATGACATTGTGTTCCATAATACTTTGGTGAATACTTCTTGACAACTTGTGACTTGTAGTAAATTTTGGTTCCATATACCTTTTCAGTTCCAAAGGAAGAAGAAAAACTACAGTTTATCAAGCAGAATAAAAGAACTGGACATGTTTCAGAAACTTCATTTGGCAAGTGTATACTGCACAATCCTGTAACCATAGACAAGGATGAAGAAGGGCCTCTCTGTAATCCTATGTATGAAGAATGGTATTAGGTTTTGTAGGGAAGACATTATGTTGGAAATGATCTTTACAACTGGAGGTGGAGAGAGGGAAAGTGGGTGCAAAATGAGAGAGGGGGAAGAAGTTTGACAAGAAATGTACTCACTACCTTACTTAGGTAACTGTAACCACTTTGTATATCACCTTGACAATAAAATTTAAAAATAAAAATAAAAGAAATGGAGGAGAGAAAAGTTGATAGTGGCCAGACATAGCTCGTCCAATTAGGAAAATAATGGAGTAGGAATGGAAAAAAAATTAATTCTTTTTCGGTAAGAGGAAAAGAGGAAGGAAAGACAAAGAAAAAGAATCAGGACACTGTAAAGGAGGAACTATGTCAGTAAGGAACATTATGAAGGGCTTAATGAGTGGGGATAGGAAACGAATCTGTCTCTGCATTAACTGCTACAACAGGAAGTCACGAAAATTAAGCTACAAAATTTTAGGTAAAAAGAAAATCTCTGCCCAACCATACATTAACCCTGCCTCCTACTCTCTAAGTAGACTCCCCAGAAACTACTGCCTACTTCTGTGTGCTGGACAAAACAAGCTAAAGAGCTCTGTGTTGGGATGAAGATAAAATCTTCACTTGTTTTCTCACCACTAGTATATCAATAATATCTTATCAGTAGTGCTCTTTTGAGGTAATAAACCGTGTTACTCTGTAAAACAATCTCTTTTTCACCTTTGGATATTAGTTAACTTGATTTAGAATGATTTTCCTGCTGTAAGATATTCATTTTATTCTGCAAATGGTTTGGTGTTTGTTCTCTCTCCTTCTTTTCCTCTCTGGTCAGAACAGTTTTCAACTGTTTACATAGGCACTGAAAGTGATTTTTCCCCAGAAACTACTATGTTATTTACAGAGCAGAGTTGCTATTAGGTAGATGGAAACTTAGGCAGCAGGAACAATTTGTGCTTCCCAGCAGCGGACACCTTTTTCAGTAGTAAATTTCTGGAGGAAAACTATGGTGTGAAAAGCACCTTTGTGGTTTGGGGTCCAGTTTATAAAAATGTCTTTGAAAGATATTACATAATGATGGCTGTTTAAGTTAAAAACTGTGGACCTAGGCTCTGAGGCCCAACAAGTATTCTTTAACTCAGTCCAGGCAGTCCCATCAAAAAGGAAACATCTATACTATAATCAGAGGGTCGAATTACCATTGACCACATGACATTTGGCATTTCTTTTGTGTTGTTTGCAATTGCCATCTTCCATGTCAGCATTATCTATACTTTTAGGGACATTTTGTTACTGAGAAGCATAAAGTAATTTTATTTGGCTATTTCATATATAGACACTTCATAAGACAGAGAGCAAACATTTTTTTCTAGGCAAGCAAAGTACATGTGTAGTTCTTAACCTTCTTAAGTTTGAATGTAGTTTATTCCTTACTGTGAGCCCAAAGATCAACTATTATAATGTGAAACAAATAGTTGCTGAAGTCAAGGGACCAGAGAGAAGCAATGTTTTAGCAAACTCACTTTGGGAAGCAGTTTAGAAGACCCCACCTGAGGACTTCTGCTGTGATCTGTTGGTGTCCTCTCAAAATTCATATGTTGTGCTGGACTGGGGATATGGCTTAGCATATTACTCTACTAGGGTAGAGTAATTGGTTGGTGTGTGAGAGGCCCTAGATTTTATCTTTAGCAGTGGAAAACATATTAATATGTTGAACTCTAATTCCCCAAATTGATGGTATTAAAATGTGGGTCCTGTGGGAGATGATTAGATCATAAGAGTTCTACTCTCATGAATAGAATTAATGTTGTCATGTTGAAAGGGGAAGCGGTTTGCCACTTTTTGCCATGTGAGGATACATAGAATGCACTATTTGTGACAATGTTCCCTTATCAGACACCAAAAGTACTATATTAACACCTTGATCTTGGACAACTCACAGCCTCTAGAACTGTAATCAACAACTTTCTGTTTTAGCATATGATTCAGTGTAAGGTATTTTGTCATGGGGGCCAAATAAACATAACTTGATGCAGAGAAGTAGCATGCTTCTGTATAAAATCCTAAAAATGTGGAGGTGTCTTTTAGAACTGGGTGATGTGAAGAAGCTCAAAGAGTTTGGAGAGTGCATTACTAATGAAAAGAACCTTAAGAGAGATTCTGCTGAGGGCTGAGAAGAAAAATAGAACTGTAGAATAGTCTCAATATATTTAGAAATTGCCTAAGTGATGGTACTAATAATGTCGCTAGAAATATGGATGGTAAAGAACATTTTGAAGAGGCCTCACGTAGAAATGAGGACTGGGTCTTTACCTGCTACAAAGCTGTTAGTATTTTAACAGGATGGATTTTTCCATCCTATAGTGCTATGGGAAATAGACTTTTATGCTCCATCAATTGCCTACTTTAAAGTATTGCGTCATAACATCCTGCTTAAGAAAGCTTCCTCTATGGTTTGGGAGATCTGTTGAATGGTAGTTCTGAGAATGAAGAGAGATTCAGTGAGATATCTCTGTTTTGAGAGAAAAGGATGTGTGCAGAGAAGCGGAAATATTATTAAGAGTTTCTTTAGTCAAAGTTCTTTGGATCACCAAAGGAAATATTTCAGAAAGATCTCTTATGAAAGTTTAGTTGTACTCATCAGATAATTGTTCACCAGAGAATAATGTAGTGGTAGGAGCAGGTAGAAGTTGCATGAGTAAATGGTGTATTTTTTTTTTTTTACCAAATCCTAACTTTGAAAATTAAATGTTAGGCATGAATTTTCATTTTACAAAGAACTTTTTCAGTTTGTAGAAAGATTAATCATATGTTTCTTCTCCATGATTTTCACTATGGACATTTCAACTATTTGAATTGCAGCTCATTAAGAAGTTATTATTCTATAAAGTAAGCCATATTCATATTTAGGTAGAAATACCACAGCCACTGAGATTTGGCTACGTTGTGATAAAACCTGAAATGTCCAAATCCAAAGGAAATATCTAAATTTTCTCAAAGAGACAAATCTTGGTCTGATGTTAGATATTATGGTAAGGTCACAGGGATTCATGCCCTTCTTTGAGGTTCTGTCACATATTTGAGAACCCAAGAGAACCAAATGAAGATAAATTAACTACATTTTCACTTTTACCTAGAAGAGACAAGCTGGTATGTCACCAGCCAAAATGGTTTTGTTGAAAGATATAGTTTTAAGAGAAGTGAATAGCAATATTTAAACATTTCTAGGGGCTGGGAAGGTGGCTCAGTGGTAGAGTGCTTGCCTTGCATGCCTCAGGCCCTGGGTTTGATTCCTCAGCACCACATAAGCAAAAAGAAAAAAGCAGGAAGTGGCGCTACGGCTCAAGTGGTAGAGCGCTAGCCTTGAGCTGAAGAGCTGAGGGACAGCGCCAGGCCCAGAGTTCAGGCCCCACGACCGGACCCAAAAAAAAAACCAAACCCAAAACATTTCTAAAAGCAAGTAACATCCAGTCTCTCACCTTCACTTGGAAACTTTGAAGTTCTCATAATCCTGAGTTGTATTATATATATCTGTCTATTCCCCAGTACCCATCATGTGCTTGTTCCGCAAGTCCTCAATAATGAGAACAAATTTTAATCATTTATCTTACCAGAAGGCAGTTTAAGTACCTATTAGTGACTAGGCACTACTTGAATTTCTAGTAATATAAAAAGAAGTTCAGCAGAGTTACCCAGGTTCAGTGTAATAACCAGCATTGTTTAGACACAATACATTTCAATCCATTATATAATTAGTATTTGAATCTGAAAGTAGTACAGAAGATAGATATTATTGCCTCTATTTTACAGATGAGCAAACTAAGGCTTAGGGAGTTGAATTAGACAAATTAGTCTTACTGAACCAGGTTGAATGAGAATCATTTTAACCTGGCTTTTCTGACTTCACATTCTATATCAGACTCATTTATACTTAACTCTTTATTTTGAGTCAGAATCAATTCCACTGAGGTAAGAAACAATATGAAACAGAAACATTATTCTCCCAATACCTCCTTGCTTTTTGTACAGCTTCTTGCTATACTCAAGTATTAGGGATGACTAGAAAACAAACATTCTATCTTGGCCAGTGGGTATAACCAGTAACCTTGTTGCTCAAATCTGTTCTATTGTTCTATAGTCCAGGCAACAAAAACACCAATTAAGAACATTTGTTCTGGTACATTTAGAAATCCTTTGCCAGATGCGCACACAAAGTATTTAGCCTTTGGCAACATTCAAGAATTGCTGCAATGGAATATCTGATTTGAAAGTTTCTCTGGCCACTGAGATTGCTGTTTTTATATCTGGCTTTACCTTCTCTACCTGTAATTTAGTTTCTTTTCTTTCCCTATTATACACAATACTATTTAAACAAGAACCAAAGAGGAATTTCTACAAATGTCAAATTAGGAATATATGAGCCTCCTAAAGGTAATATCATACCAAGTCATATCCCCTAATATAAGTTATATTATTTACGATAATAATTGTGAATGTCATATGTAACACTACTTATTTATATTTTAGTTGGGAAATAAAAGAGCAATCTTGCATATCCTCTGATACTATATTTTCCAGCATTTCATTTAAGGAATTATAAACATGAAAAGGTGAAAATGGAGAAAATATTGGATGTCAATCTAAATCAAGTTTTAAATAAAATATTACAAGCAAGGTTTGTTTGCTTACAATTGCCTCAATGTAAACCAACTCAGTCTTTTTAATTCCTGGCAGTCATATTAAATTCAGGGCATATTATATACAGCATGCAAGATTTAAAAAAATCAATGGTTAATAGAATAAAATAAGGCCAGGAAAGTTATTAAACTTTAATAGTTATTGGTAGTTAACTAAAACATAATTATATATATATATATATATATATATATATATATATATATATAAAAGAAATACCCTTTTTACGCAGTAGAACACTGGCATGTTTCCGTCCATTTCGGTTTTCCACATGACAGGTATAATTAGCTAAGTCTGCCTCCACCACTGAGTCAAAGATGAGTGTCAGCTCAACTTCTTTTTCTCCAAGATGTTCTTTGAGGAGTCTGAAAGTAAGGACAACATTCTTTGCTGAACTGGTTTGAATTAAATAGAATACAGCCATAGAGAGTCTACATATAAATGATTATAGATAGCCCTCCCCATCCACGACTCTAGTGAGAATAGAGTGAAGTTGAGGAAAAAAGAAGTAGTCTTGCAGGATGTGACCATATGGCAAGTAAAGCAAATGATGTTAGTAGCCTTGTGTATTAAGATACCTTTGAGAAGTCTGTTGTCCAATGGAGTAATGAGTTCTGTCTCCCAACCCCACAAAGAATCATGTTTCCACTGGGTGCAAGTGGCTCATGTCTGTAATCCTAGCTACTCAGGAGGCTGAGATCTGAGGATCACAGTTCAATGTCAGCCCGGGCAGCAAAGTCTGTGAGATTTTTATCTCCAATTAACCACAAGAAAACTGGAAGTAGCACTGTGGCTCAAGTGGTAGCGCATTCTTGAGCTGAAGAGCTCAGGGACAGCACCCAGGCCCAGAGTTCATGCCCCAAGACCAACTAAAAAAATCATGTTTCCCTCAACTCCTTTAGTCTTAATTTTCCCAAATATCACCCCACAATTGTCCTGCTTTTGTCTTTGTCTTCTGTGACCTTTTCTCCCAATCCTGTTTTGTGCTTTTGTGAGTGAAATTTCAAAGGATCATGAATGACCAATGATATTATCGATGACAACAGATATTCTTTACAGAAGATCTAAATCTCCATGTTTCTTATCTTGAGGGGTGCAACTGCTGTTTCTTTGAAGAGTTACCATATCACCAGCAATCAGCTACCTCCTGAATGAGATAGAAGTGGATACTCTGCTGAGTTTCTTAACATCCCGCCTTTGACCAAAGTAACAAATCATGAATCAAACTGAGGGGAAATTACATTATAGGGTGTGTGCTTAAAATCATACATTTGTATCCTCGGAGGCTACAATACTTGATAAGAAATGTACTCATTATCTTGCCCATGTAATTGTAACCCCTCTGTACAGTATTTTCACAATAAAAAAATAAAAATTAAAAAAATAATAAAAAATCATACATTTGTAAATACAAATATTATGAAAATTTTGAGGTGTAGAAATAATCCTTATCTCCTATATGGATATATAAGTACAGTGATTTATTGTCACTGAGCATAAAGTTGGTACAATTAATATATACTAGAAGAGAGAGAGGGAAAGAGGACAATTGTGATTAGGAAAAAAAACTTGATTCTAAACTCAGGCCTTTTATTTGTAAACTCAAGAAGCTGGGTCTTTACAAATTCATTAACTCAATGGTGCTTCAATTGAATAATGAGAAAATAACTATTATACCTTTGTTGTAAGAATAGAATGATTTAAAAGTAAATAGTACTAGGCACGTGCTAAGGAATGCTATTAAATATCAAAATTTTATTACCTGAGTAGAGTGTATAGATTTGGGCTCATCAAAAATATTTTCATTTACATTTATTGACTTTTTTTGTGTGAAAATACCATACAGAGGGGTTACAATTACATGGGCAAGATAATGAGTACATTTCTTATCAAGCATTGTTGCCTCCTCCTTTGTTTCCCCTTCCCATCCCTTCCCATCTCCCGCCCTCCCCCCAGCACCATAGTTGTAAAGTTCGTTTGTACATCTCATTGGTTTACCCTTTCTTGGCTCCTTTTTGAGAGATGGAAGGACTTAAAGTTGAATTGTTGGAGGAGAGTTTCTAGAGTCAGTCTGTCATGTATTGATATCTGAAGCCAAAATTATATTCCAAAATGCATGCTTTAAAAAGTAATCTTATAAAAAGTGGCACTGTGGCTCAAAGTGGTAGAGCACTAGCCTTGAGCTGAAGAGCTGAGGAACAGTGCCCAGGCCCAGAGTTCAAGCCCCATGACCGTCAAAAAGTAATCTTATTTCTACTTTCTTCGAATAAGATATATATCTGAGAGTTGACAATAGGGACATTATACTCGAATAAGTCTTCTGTCTTTTTCATGTATCATCACTGAAGTAGGTTAAGTATAAGAATTTTCTTGACTGAATTTTGAGATCACATCTTCTGTTAGGTAGTTGGGTTTTTTTTTGTTTTTGTTTGCTTTTATTTTTTTATTTTTTTTCTCGGTTGTGAGGCTTGAACTCTGGGCCGGGGCGCTGTCCCTCAGATCTTCAGCTCAAGGTGAGCGCTCTACCACTTGAGCTACAGCACCACTTCTAGTTTTCTGAGTTGTTTATTGGAGTCTCGTGGACTTTTCCTGCCTGGGCTGGCTTTGAACTGCAATCCTCAACCTCCTGAAGCTAGGATTACAGGCGTGAGCCACTGGCACCCGGCTTCCTGTAAGTTTTTATGTGAATTTCTTTTCTTCCTAATTAAAGCCATAGTTCCTCCCCCTCTCTTCTGCCAAAATATATTTAACAAACACATTAGAATTATTCTGCTCATGATTTATATTGATTTTTGCTATCTCCATTTTCTCTCTACTCTTGGTAAATCACACTACACTCAATTGTTTTAGCTCTGTGTAACCTGTTATGGAAGCAACCTCTTTAGTGATGGAATCCACATAGGCATCACAAACTCAGTTTGATTTAAAGTCTCACATGGAAGGCAGCTACAGCCTCTGCCAGGCACGAGGCAGAAATCTGATCCTATTACTCTCCACCAAGGCTTTTGCTCTACTTTCTAATGCAGTTTCCAAAAACAGATCTTCACAGGCTACAGCAAGAATTTGGAGGGTGCATTTGAAAAATGATCCTTGTTCTATCTATTAATACATATGACGTGTCTTAATTATCAGCTCTTAAAAATCTAAAGGTGACTTGCTTTTCTGTTGTTTAAAACCAGGTTGATGTTTATGTCTACAAATGACTCTCAAGACCAGTCATAATTTAAATATGCAAAATCAACATTCATAAAAACATGACATGGTACCCCATTGATATGTCTATTGAAATGTACAATTTTCATGTTTTAATACAGTAGCTAAAATACATTTTAAAATGTATTACTAATAATTTCTAGAAGACCATTAGGATGAACTTGAAACTTAACCACTCCATGTGACATAATCTTAGGACTTTCCATTGTCAAGAATTCTGTCAAGAAGAGTATTACCAGTTCTCATGGTGAAGAATCAGATGAAAGGTTCTTCCTTGCTTCTAGCACAGAAAGGGAAAAAATCAATGAATCCAGAATGGTTCGTTCTACTTCTTTTTTTAAAAAAAAATAATCAGTCCCTTATTGAGTTATCAGCTAATCAGTTAGCCCTAATTTTTAATGCAGATAAGTTAACAGCATATGAATATTAAAAATAACATTTTTTTCTTTTCTTGTAAAGATGCTGTACAGAGAGGTTACAGTTACATCAGTAAGGTAATGAGCACATTTCTTGTTGGGCATTATTACCCCCTTCTTTGTTTTTCTCTCACTATCCCTTCCCACTCCTACCTCCCAAAGTTGTAAGGTTCATTTCCAACATAGAGTCTTGTGAGTATCATTGTTTTAATGGGTCATCCTGTGTCCTTGTTTCAACATTTTGTTATTCCCTTTCCCTTCCCCAAATTAGATGAATGTATATAGAAGATACAAGGTACCAAAATCAAATACAGTTACAACAGGGATATACCTTAGGTGGAAGAACATACAAAAGAAACAAAGAAAAGATCACATAGTACATTGAAAACAACAACAAAAAATGAAAACCTCTTCTGTCCATATCTTGGGGTTCATTTCACTTAGCATGATCTTATATGGTCATATGGACATAGTTTTTGAAGTAAGACAGACCCAAAGAAATATAGGTCCCATTGTCTCCCTTATTTGTAATAATTAGTATATGTCTAGGACAATTATCAGATGAGCAGAAAAGTAACATTTTTATCTGTAAATCCAACACTGATTGAACAATATATGCAGTGGAAGCCAGAAGACTTTCAGTATTAATCTGTTAAGTGTAAGATTATGCCATTTAAACATATTCTATTTGAAGGGTCTAATATAAATGATGCAAATGTGTGTGATTATGTTATTTTGGTCTTTTTTTTCTTTTTTATTGTCAAGGTGATATACAGAGTGGTTTCAGTTACATAGGTAAGGTAATGAATACATTGCTTGTCATCAGTGGGCAAGGGGGGAACCAATGCAACAGCAATATACACAAGGCAATATATTGGAAATGATCTGTGCAACTTGGGGGGGTTGGTGGGAGGGAAAGTAGGAGAAAATTTAGGGAAGGGGTAACAAGGTTGACAAGAAATATACTCAATTCTACTTCTTTAGAAGACTGTCTTCAAGAGAAGCTGGTTTATCAAAGCTTAAACTGCCTAGCTTTTACCAATGTCTAAACTTAGTTGTAAATTAACAAAATAATGAGGATTACTACAAAATGGTGATAACAGAAATAAAAGTTCTAAATAAATGAAGATATTTCTTATGCATGGATAGGACAGCTCAACTGTCATTATTTAAAACAATTGAGATTGTATTACTTAGCTAATCATTTCTGTGGCCAAAATCCTTGAGCAAACAACTTAAGGGAAGAAATTATTTTCAGCTATGGTTTAAGTCCAAAAAGTTTAGTGCTGTTGATTCTGAAACTGTAGTGAAGCAGAGCATCTTAGTGGAAAGAGTGTGTACTAGAGAATTATTCATTACTGGAGGAAAACTAAAATGATGCAGCCCTTTTGAACAATACTTTGACAGCTTCTTACAAAGTTAAGTATTGTCTTAGCATATGATTCATCCTTCACATTTTGATATTTACACAAAACCTTATATACTGTATTTATAGTAGCCTTGCTCATTACTGCCAAAATCAGGAAGCAACCAAAATGTCTTTCGATAGGTTAATAGATAAACATCTCTGGTACATTGAGATAATGTTATTGAGTGATAAAAAACAAATTTTCTATTAATTCACCAAAAAATACAGAGGAAACAGAAGTGCAAATGATTAATTAAACATTGCCAGAATGATTAACAGTGTTTATAAAGAAATGTACTCATTAACTTACTTATGTAAAAAAACCCTC